TTAAATGATACACTAAACAAGATGGACTTCATTTATATTTATAGGACATTCCATCTAAAAACAACAGAATACACTTTCTTCTCAAGTGCCCATGGAATATTGTGCAGGATAGATCATCCTGGGTCACAAATCAAGCCTTGGTAAATTTAAGAAAATTGAAATTGTATCAGGTATCTTTTCTGACCACAATGCTATGAGGTTAGATATCAATTACAGGAAAAAAAATCTGTAAAAAATACAAACACATGGAGGCTAAACTATAAACTACTTAATACCCAAGAGATCACTGAAGACATCAAATAGGAAATCAATAAATACCTAGAAACAAATGACAATAAAAACATGATGACCCAATACTTATGGGATGCAGCAAAAGCAGTTGTAAGAGGGAAGTTTATAGCAATAAAATCCTACCTGAAGAAACAAGAAACATCTCAAATAAACAACCTAACCTTACACCTAAAGCAATTAGAGAAAGAAGAACAAAAAACCCAAAAGTTAGCAGAAGAAAAGAAATCATAAAGATAAGGTTAGAAATAAATGAAAAAGAAATGAAGGAAATAATAGCAAAGATCAATAAAATTAAAAGCTGGTTCTTTGAGAAGATAAACAAAATTGATAAACCATTAGCCACACTCATCAAGAAAAAAAGGAAGAAGCCACAAATCAATAGAATTAGAAATGAAAAAGGAGAAGTAACAACTGACAGTGCAGAAATACAAAGGATCACGAGAGATTACTACAAGCAACTCTATTCCAATAAAATGGACAACCCGGAAGAAATGGACATATTCTTTGAGAAGCACAAACTTCTGAGACTGAACCAGGAAGAAAGAGAAAATATAAACAGACCAGTCACAAGCACTGAAATTGAGACTGTGATTAAAACTCTTCCAACAAACAAAAGCCCAGAACCAGATGGCTTCACAGGCGAATTCTATCAAACATTTAGAGAAGAGCTAACACCTATCCTTCTCAAACTCTTCCAAAATATAGCAGAGGGAGGAACACTCCCAAACTCATCCTACAAGGCCACCATCACCCTGATACCAAAACCAGACAAAGATGTCACAAAGAAAGAAAACTACAGGCCAATATCACTGATGAACATAGATGCAAAAATCCTCTACAAAATACTAGCAAATAGAATCCAGCCACACATTAAAAGGATCATACACCATGATCAAGTGAGGTTTATCCCAAGAATGCAAGGATTCTTCAATATACACAAATCAATCAATGTGATAAACCATGTTAACAAACTGAAGGAGAAAAACCATATGATCATCTCAATAGATGTAGAAAAAGATTTCAACAAAATGCAGCACGTATTTATGATGAAAACCCTCCAGAAAGTAGGCATAGAGGGAACTTACCTCAACATAATAAAGGCCATATATGACAAACCCACAGCCAACATCATTGTCAATGGTTTAAAACTGAAACCATTTCCTCTAAGATCAGGAACAAGACAAGGTTGTCCACTCTTACCACTATTATTTAACATAGTTTTAGAACTTTTAGCCAGAGCAGTCAGAGAAGAAAAAGAAATAAAAGGAATCCAAATCAGAAAAGAAGAAGTAAAGCTGTCACTATTTGCAGATGACATGATACTATACATAGAGAATCCTAAAGATGTTACCAGAAAACTACTAGAGCTAATCAATGAATTTGGTAAAGTAGCAGGATACAAAATTAATGCCCAGAAATCTCTTGCATTCCTATACACTAAAGGTGAAAAATCTGGAAGAGAAATCAAGGAACGACTCCAATTTACCATTTTACTATTGCATCAAAAAGAATAAAATACCTAGGAATAAACCTACCTAAGGAGACAAAAGACCTGTATGCAGAACACTATAAGACACTGATGAAAGAAACTAAAGATGATACAAACAGATAGAGAGATATATCATGCTCTTGGATTGGAAGAATCAACACTGTGAGAATGACTATACTACCCAAAGCAATCTACAGATTCAATGCAATCCCTATCAAACTACCAATGGCATTTTTCACAGAAGTAGAACAAAAAAATTCACAATTTGTATGGAAACACAAAAGATCCCGAATAACCCAAGCAATCTTGAGAAAGAAAAATGGAGCTGGAGGAATCAGGCTCCCAATCTTCAGACTATACTACAAAGGTACAGTAATCAAGACAGTATGATACTGGCACAAAAACAGAAATATAGATCAATGGAACAGCATAGAAAGCCCAGAGATAAACCCACGCACATGTGGTCACCTTATTTTTGATAAAGGAGGCAAGAATATATAATGGAGAAAAGACAGCCTCTTCAATAAGTGGTCCTGGGAAGACTGGACAGCTACATGTAAGAGAATGAAATTAGAACACTCCCTAACACCATATACAAAAATAAACTCGAAATGGATTAAAGACCTAAATGTAAGGCCAGACACTATAAAACTCTTAGAGGAAAACATAGGCAGAAAACTCTATGACATAAATCACAGCAAGATCCTTCTTGTCCCACCTCCTAGAGAAATGGAAATAAGAATAAAAATAAACAAATGGGACCTAATGAAACTTAAAAGCTTTTGCACAGCGAAGGAAACCATAAAGGCGAAGGTGAAAAGATAGCCTTCAGGAAGGGAAGAAATATTTCCAAATGAAGCAAGTGACAAAGGATTAATCTCCATAATTTACAAGCAGCTCATGCAGCTCAATATCAAAAAAACACAATCCAAAAATGTGCAGAAGACCTAAGTAGATATTTCTCCAGAGAAGATATACAGATTGCCAACAAACACGTGAAAGGATGCTCAACATCACTAATAATTAGAGAAATGTAAATCAAAACTATAATGAGGTATCACCTCACACCAGTCAGAATGGCCATCATCAAAAATTCTACAAATAAACACTGGAGAGGGTGTAGAGAAAAGGGAACCCTCTTGCACAGATGGTGGAAATGAAAATTGATACAGCCACTATGGAGAACAGTATGGAGGTTCATTAAAAAACTAAAACTAGAACTACTGTATGACCCAGCAATCCCACTACTGTGCACATACACTGAGAAAACTATAATTCAAAAAGCATCATGTACCACAATGTTCTTTGCAGCTCTATTTACAATAGCCAGGACACAGAAGCAACTACGTGTCCAGCAACAGACAAATGGATAAAGAAGATGTGGCACATATATACAATGGAATATTACTCAGCCATAAAAGGAAACGAAATTGAGTTATTTGTAGTGAGGTGGATGGACCTAGAGTCTGTCATACAGAGTGAAATAAGTCAGAAAGAGGAAAACAAATACCGTATGCTCACACATATGTATGGAATCTGAAAAAAAAAATGGTTCTGAAGAACCTAGGGGCAGGGCAGGAATAAAGAGGCAGATGTAGAGAATGGACTTGAGGACACAGGGAGGGGGAAGGGTAAGCTGGGATGAAGTGAGAGAGTGGCATGCACATATATACACTACCAAATGTAAAATCGATAGCTAGTGGGAAGCAGCCAAATAGTAGAGGGAGATCAGCTCAGTGCTTTGTAACCACCTAGAGGGATGGAATAGGGAGGTGGGAGGGAGACACAAGAGGGAGGAGATATGGGGGTATATGTATTTGTATGGCTGATTCACTTTGTTATAAAGCAGAAACTAACACACCATTGTAGAGCAATTATACTCCAATAAATATGTTAAAAATTAATAAATAAAAGACCATCAGTATTTATATCATTGGGAATTACACCCTTGTGTGCTTCCAACACCAACAGAAATTCCAGCTTCCCAGAGCATCAGGGAAACTCTTATCCACAGACAGATCTGGAAATTCCCTAGTCTTGTTTTATCCAAACTTCCACATAACCCCCACCTTCAGGTACACAAATTACAGAGCCTAATGTAAAATGTAAATGGGGATCTCCTGTTCAAAAATTAGTAAGAATTTCCTGCTTGTAAAATCAAGACATTAAATCAAGCATGGGGCCTTCTAAGTGTGGTGCTCTATGTGATACCCCGATTATACACTTATGAGGCCGCCTATGTTTCCTACCTCAAACCCTTTCTTTATTCCTTAATACTGTTATCAGCAGTTTATCTGTAATTTACCTCTAGCCTCAATTTCTTCTCTTAATATTCAAAACAATTCTTCTTACTCTAACTAAGTCTATTCTGTCCCCCATGGACACTGTCAGATCCCCATATCCCATATAACATAATGCCTGGGGATGGGGCAGGTGTCATCTGTACTCACCATTGCTTTCCCTTTTTAGAACTTTCTTTTCCTTCTTCAAAAATCCAGTTTCTTTCAATCCCACATCATCCATCTATACCACCTGGTTGTTTACATACCTCCCCCTTGTCCAGGCAACCCATGACACCTCACAGGTGCTCAAGAAATATGTGTTGAGAAAGTTAATAAGTGACTTGTGCAATCATTAAAAAAACAACAACAACAAAAAACGGTAGAATACAAATTCAACCTGCCAACTGCATAATAAGAGCCAGCATACTTTAAACAAAGTGCCTCTTTGGCCTGAATTACTCACAATATCTAGATATTTGCATTCAATATTCTATGTAAGTTTTGTCAGAATACTGGCTGAAACATCGCCTGTTATGAAGCCAAGTTGGTATCTATACCCTGAATATTTATGATTATTCCTTTAAGAAGCTGGGAGCGGGGGAGATGAAGGAGTCACTTGATATGACTTCAAGGATAAATTCATGTTTATTTCAGAGTTTGCTGCTAGAATAAACAGAAAACCAGACCCTGTCTCTGCCTGGCGGGACTTGTGCCTGCACAGTGAGGATGCCTCTGCTCATTGCTTCCCAATGCTGTCCTCTTCTGGCAGAGCGTGCTCATTGCTAGAGCTGTGCGAAATGAGCCTGCTTGGAAAGAGAAAGGGAACTGGGGGCCAGAGACAGTGATACTATGAGAGGATGAAAATGAGGAAAAGGCAAATGTGGGAACAAAATGGGAAAAGCAGATTTATACCCCTCCTACCCTTTGTGTTCACTCACCCTCATTTTTCCTTTAGATGTCATCTTGTCCAGTGCCCTCCTGAACAAAAACAGAAAATTGTACACCTCTTCAGATTTTCTTTGCACCTACCTCAAGTTGCAGGGTTGGAAGAATAAATCCATGACCACCCTGGCCTCTGCCTTGTCATTGCCCCTCATCTTCCTTGCACACAAATCCTGCACATGCCCTTTGTCCTTGCTCAGCTGTTCCTCTCACTTGCTGTCCACTGTTGCTCTCCTAGATAATTTCCACACACAACAGGGCTGCTCTTGAGCCCCTCCCAAGCCTGCCTGTTTGCCCAGCTATATATGGGGACTGCTTCTAACCCTCTGTGCTAATGCTTTACCGCCTTCTGGATCTGGGTTCTTCATTTCTGGAAAATACCACATTGGTGACAGAAGTTGGGCAGGAAGCATGTTTAAAAAGAGAAAGAGAAATACCTTTATCCAGAACAAGTAACTCAGCTGTTAACTTTGAAAACTTCTTGTATGAATTGATCTCATAGTCTAAAGGCTCTGTACTTGTCTTTCCTGTGGTCAAGTCACCCATCAACATAAAGAATATAACAACATTGTAAATCAGCTATACTCTAATATAAAATAAAAATTAAATTTAGAAACACCCATAAAGGATATAGAGCTTCCCGCTGTGCTTCACCTGGAAAATGCTGATACTGGTATTATACAGAGTGTTCATCCCTGAGGCTGCTTACAGGGATATGGAGTAGATCACAGTTTCTGTAAGCTTCTTCCCTCGTGTGTCCTTTAGTACCCCTGCTGCCTCTACCTGTTCATCGTTTCAGGGCCAGCTCCGAACTCCCTCTGCCTTGAGGTCTTCATAAAGATGTCATTTCCCCCATCTGCTTTGGCTGCAGGAGTCAGAACCTGTGTACCACCACTTGTCAGTTACATGCAGTGCTGTGTTGTTCACTGATGCTTTACTGAAGCACATTTAACCATATACCTACAGTCTCTGGCATTCCAGGGTTTGCTAGCTGAAAAACCAGGATCTAAGTTGCTCATAGATGATGTCAGGAATCCCAGTCCTCTCCTCAGGTGATTCTGAGGATTCCTGGAGACTCTGCACCTGCCTTGGCTGTTGCTTGCCATCTGTTGCTCCTGACTGCTGCTTGGGGGCTCCTTGTAGCTTCAAGGGCTTCCTTGGTCTGGTTGTCCATGTGTAGACATTGGCTCCTCTCTTATTTCACAGCTCCACCCCACACCCCAGCACAGCTAACAATAAGGCAAAGTGAAGGCTCGAAGATAACATACAACATTAGAATGCAGGAAAGGGACATTTAAAATTCGGCAGCAGTGACTGCTGCTCCTAAGTCCACCAGCCTTGTCCCAATGTAGGGCGCCCCCTACCTGCTGTCTTGCTGAGGTGTTGCTGTGGTTTCAGTCCCTCGTCACATAGGTGGGAGTTCCCCTTGACCTAGTTCTGAGCCCCAAACTCCAATTTCTTTTTTGTCAGTCTCTAACAAGAGGATGAAAAACCAGTGTACTCAATAATACTTCCTCAAAGTTGGAGCTTTGTCCACTGTAAAGGTGGCCATTCACATTCTTTTGCAAAACTGTTCTTCTTTGCCCCAGCTACCCTTGTGAGACTAAACTCAGGACTCAACTTTGCATATCAAAAATGCCTTTTAAAGTGTTTCCTCAAATAATAAAAAGGACAATCTTTCCTTCAAATATTGAATGCTGCTATTTCTGATATGTGAAAATGGCTATAATTTTTTAAACTTTTATCTTTTGGGGGGCCTAATTTACCAAACTTGCCTGCCTTGATGGCAAGAATAATTTCTCGTCCTCTGAGGTTTATGCCCAAATATTGTCAATTTCCCACAAAAGGGAAAGTGGTCCCCTAACAAGAAGCCAGGAAGAGATTTGAGCTCATGCCAGAAAATCCTAATTATTCCCCCAAATCCCTGGTCACCTCTTCCTCCTGCTGTGGCAGTGAGAACACAATGTCCAGACCTCCTTGCACTCAGGTACAGTCATGTGGCTGAGATTTAGCCCATGAATGTGAGTAGAATGATAAGCATTTCTTCTAGGCCGAATAGGTAACTCCATGCTCTTTTCTCCTCGTGGATGAGCTGAAAGGAGACGACCTACCAGGGCAACTTGTGTGTCACATGTTGAAAGTGGCAGAGATTTCATCAGCCTGGGGCCCTGAATGATGTCACAAAGGAGGGACGCCTCACTATACTGCTCACTTGCCCAGGGCAAGAAATAAAATTCTGTCTTATTCAAGCCCTTAGAATATTTCGGTCTATTTGTTACAGCACTTAGCCTACCTTAATACAAGCTGTCCGTAGAAACCCTGTCAGAGGTGTCTCTACTCAGGTGTGGAGTTAACAGAGGTCTATGTGGTGTGATGAGGGTCACTAACGGTCAAGGAGAGACCTGCTTCCCATGCCCATTGACTTCCATCCCAACATTTTGTCTAAAATTCCACCACATGGACTTCATTACTTTGGATATAGACAAAATACTTCTAAGAAACTTTTTAAAAAATAACCATACCATCTGAGAGAGATAGAGCATCAAACCATCAACTTCCATGAACCCCTTAGCATGGATGACTTTCTCAAATTTCTTTCTAATGAAATAGCTAGTGAAAAGTCCAGAAAGGGACACAGGAAGAGAAATGTGGATGGGCAGACTAGGAGAGATGGAGGGATATCTAGAAGGTGGAGCACCTGAGTTTCTTCTCCAACAGAAACAGACGTCTGGACAGTCGTAGATAGAAGACAGGGCAGCAGGATCCTGGAGAAACCTTCATGGGGGTTGGGAGGAAAGAGTTCAGAAGGTTCAAAGATGGGAGATGAAGGCATTGAAGGGAAACTTCTTGCTTGATAATTCGGCTGAATGACGGTCCTCAAATCAGGTGCTTTTTCTACCCTTCCCCTACACTTTGAGCACGTTTCTTTGATGGTCCAGCCTACTTTTTAGATCCGCACATGGCCCCTCAGAAAAGTCCTGCTAAAGATCATAAGAGAACGATGAGATTTGTTTAAGCCATATCTGCATTTTCAGTGCTCGGATATTTTCACTGTTTTTCAGCTAGTACCTTATTTAGAGATTCCCATAACAATAACCTTCTACCATTTCAGATTATACAGTTATTTTCTTTCTGCAGCTCGTGGAAAAGACAGACAGGTGGGTAGGACAAGGTCATGGGGTCATTGGCATGAAAAGTCAACTGCCAAGTAATTCAACTGCATTTGTCCACTTACTAGTTTTTAAACAAGTGTGTACATGTAACAGAATCCATTTTATGATTAAAAATATTAACAAAACATTAAACATTTGCATCCATATTTTGTGCATATTGTAAAATAGCTGGGTATTTTGTGGGTAGCAAATCTTGGAGCCAGTTTTTGTTGGGCTATCTGGCCCTACTGAATTTGATTATGGTGCCTTCTCACTAATGCAAGCAGTGGAGGTGGCCGTTGTCCCACGTGGAGTTGAGGACTCTATCTCTCTGATCAGTAGAAGGTTTGGGGGTCCTACCCTATGCCACATACAGGTAACACCTTATTTTATTGTGCTTTGCTTTACTGTACTTTGCAGATGAGTTTTTGTTTTGTTTGCCAAATTTCGTGGCAACACTGCATCAAGTAAATCTATCAGCACCATTTTTCCAACAACACTTGCTCATTTCATGTCTCTCTGTCACATTTTGATAATTCTTTCAATATTTCAATTTTTTTAATTATTATTATATTTGTTATAGTGATCTGCATTCAATGATCTTTGATGTTGCCATTGCAATTGTTTTGGCATTTTTTAGCAATAAAGCATTTTTTAAATTAAGGTATGTGTATTGCTTTTTTAGATATAATGCTACTGTCCACTTATAGACTACAGTGTAAACATAACTTTTCTATGCATGAGGAAATGAAAAAATGTCTGTGATTTGCTTTATTGTGATATTCACTTTATTGAGGTCATCTGGAAATGAACTCACAGTACCTCTGAGGTCTGCCTGTGGATGCTTCTTCTATTTGTTGTCTGTTGCTGCCATAACAAATTATTATAAACAATGGGTTAAACAACACACATTTATTTTCTTACAGTTTTGTAGGTCAGAAGTTCAACCCTGGACTCACCAGATAAAAACAAGTTGTTGGCAGGCTGTGATCCTTTCTGGAGGTTCCAGGGGAGAATGTTTCCTTGCTCATTCAGGTTGTTGGCAGAATCCAGTTCCTGTGGTTATAGGACTGAGGTTCCAGTTTCTTTGCTGGCTGTCTGCTGGGGATGCCCTTAACTCGGAGAGGTTTTTCTCTGGTCATTGCACATAGTTTCCTACATCTCAGAGCAAGCAACAGACTGTTGAATCCTTCTTATGCTGCCATCTCTCTCAAGCACCCTTTTTTCTTCTTATTCCACTATTAAGGACTCATGATTATACTGGGCCCACCTAGATAATCCGAGATACTCTCCCCATTACAAGGCCCAAAACCTTAACCACAATCTGCAAAGGTAGCATAACATGCAAGGTAACATATTCATAAGTTTGGAGAACTAGGGTATCAACATCTTTGGGGACATTATTTTGCCAAACACACTCTCAATTAAGTATTATCTGAAAACATTGGTCTATAGGTGATCAATATGAATCAATGATAGGACTTAGCCCCCATGATGCCTAGGCCAGGTTTCACTTTCTTACTTGCAGTTGGTTTATATCCAAGCTGGCTTAATCTCAAGTTTCCAGAAGTAGAACTAAAAGGCATTATCAGACATACTCTGCAATCTTGTGCTCCCAGCACCTCTCCCCACATCCTTCATCCTCTTATACCCAAAAGAATAGTAGTTGAAATTTAGACCATTCAGATTCAACCTTAGTGGGGTTTCAACTAAGTTTGTCTGGGTGTGGAGGACATAAGACTTCATTATCCTTTACCCTACAGGTGTTATCTATTGAATATTTTTATAACAAAAATTTAAAAGAACTAAGCACAAAGTGTACCATCCTATGCTAAATTAACAGTGTTTTTCCTGGTGTGATTCTCTCTACACCACCCAATTGGTCCCCGCCGGAAACTCAACTGCCTCTCATGTGTGCTGTTTCTTCCAAGTGCAGGAAAACCTCATTTCCATCTCTGGCCACAGTGCTCACAGAGTGGGCAGGGCCAGCTGAAACAGGCACGGCCGTTCATGTGCACCAGACAGAGAGTCAGGAGGGAAGTAATAAATGATAAGGAAGGTTGTCCATTGCCAGAGCAGGGAAAGGTCCCCACAGGGTTGGGGAAGGAAAGGGCTGAACTTCCTGACCTGACCTGGTATGGGATTAAAGCCATATGAGTTGGTTTAGGTGAGGGTGTAAAGAAGAGATGCTGCTAATGTCAGAAGTACAGAGAGACCAAGGGCTGTTTTCAGGTTTTCAGGAGATGGAAGGTTTTGGATATCTGCCCTCTTTCTCTTCCCTGCTCACAAATGGGTCTGCTTGTCAGTAGAAGCTTCTTTTTCTGTGAAGAGACTCAGGCCAATATCCCCCAAGCTGAAGCAGTGTCATCTGGGAGCCATCCTTGGAAATACTGGGACCCTACTTGGAAATACATCCAAGGCTGCCAGATGAGGAGAAGGTCCCACAACCTGAGGAGCTCCCACAACAGAGCTCGAACAGATCTCCATGCTTACTCACCAGAGGAGAGTCTCCCCATCCACATCCCTTAGTAGGACAGGCTTGTTCTGTCTCCAGTGTTCCCTTCTGATAAGACATGCCCCGCAACTTTGATGTGAATTTAATGTGTAAATGAGCATCAAGAAATCCTGGAATTCTTCCCATAACCTCAACTAAAGGGGAATTCAATAAAAGATTGTGCAGCACCAGTTGCCAGAGCAGAGAGGGAATTGTATTGTTGCCGATGCCTCTAATAACATCGCATCCCAAGCCGATACCTACCTGAGCCAGTATAAGAGCTCCAAGTACCTTCATCTAGTATCTGCTCTTCATCACCTAGGAGACTATCTATGGGAACCATTACAAGATTCAGATTCAAAGCTATGGATGTGCCAACCATTGTTAAAAAAATCATTTTCCTTTTTAGAGTAAAAAATCTGCACAGATGTGAACAAATTGGGGGGAGGGCAGTCGGCAGAGAGCAGGTGAGCTCTGTCCTATTAATGGTGAGACTTCAGTGACTTGCCTTGATGAAAGATAGGAGCCCTTGGATTGATGTCATTGTGACTGAACTTGCTTCAGATTTGATCCCCTGTAACGTTTCCAGGCCAGCTCGGATGGAGCTGGAGCTGGAGCCAGAAGTGGAAGTCCCACGGTCGGCACCTTGACATTCCTCAAGCTGTTCCCTGTGGAAGCACAGTTCTTACAAGAGCTCATCTTTTTCAACCGCTTCAGGAACTCAGATTTAATAATTCCTACAGATAAAACAGTTTTGTTTTGTTTTTCTCAGGCTTTGAAAGCAAAGGCCCACGAATCTCTCTTTATGACCCCAAATGGCCACTCATTTCAAAGTTGAGGCCAGAACTCTTGCTTTATTTCCCTTGCTGTCTGGCTTCTGAACATTAGCAGAATACAGAAGTGGCTTTTAAAACACAACACAGGGCCTCCCTGGTGGCGCAGTGGTTGAGAGTCCGCCTGCCGATGCAGGGGACACGGGTTCGTGACCCCGTCCGGGAAGATCCCACATGCCGCGGAGCGGCTGGGCCCGTGAGCCATGGCCTCTGAGCCTGTGTCCGGAGCCTGTGCTCCGCAACGGGAGAGGCCACAACAGTGAGAGGCCCGCATACCGCAAAAAAATAAATAAATAAAAAACACACAAACTTTTGTTATCACCTCGGTTTAAGATAAACCCAGACCAGCAGCCAAACTGCAAGCATGCTAAAATTCCCATTTGCCTTAGTTACTAAACATTGTACAAAATTGACATTTGTCAGATCATTTGTGTTGGAGTTAATCTTATTAATGGTGGTATCTAGCACACAAATGGCAATGGATAAGACTATGGGCTTGGAAGTCCAACAGTCCTGAGTTTGCTTCCTGACTCCAACCCTTAACTCAAGTCCAGTGTGACCTTGAATTTGCTACTTTAGTCTAAGTATTAGTTTCCTCACGTATAAAAGAAGGATACTATCTACTTGTAGGGTTGATGTGAGATTTATATAAACTGATATATAGGAAGCACTAGGCACAGTGCATGACCCACAGTACATTCACTACACATTAGATGTTGTTGTCATTTTTTTAACAAAATAAAAGAACAAACCATCAGGTATGAGTCATTAAAGGCTATCCTTTACAAGATGCTAATCTTATTTGGGGATATCTAAAAGACTTTTTAAGAAGTTCATCTCTTGCTTCCTTTGGAACAGGCAGGAAAACCCAACTAATTAGCACCGTGATCCTAACCTAACCTTTTATAACCTGCAGATTATGACCAAATTATTAGGTCTAATAAATTTGCTTGTATAATTTGGAGTTAACTGTGCTGTGTAAGGTCATGAATGCAAGGTTTGCAGGAACCTACCTGGTGGATCCAAAATGGCGCTGAAAGTCAGCCATAAAATGAACAAAGATCTCAAGCAAAACCGCTGGGAGTCCAGGCAAAGCAGCGCTGCCCCGGGGTGGGGGGGGGCAGAATTTCCTGGGCAGAGCACCTCCCTGGCCCTGGCCTCCTCCCAGGAGTCCCGACTCTCTGAATACACATTCAAGGACTCAAATCCAGAGCAGCTTCACAACCCATGTACTGTGCGTGGCCCTTGGGTAGGGAGGCACAGGACTTCCAGGCAGGCTTTTAGAGCTCCACAATAAAACACCTATAAGCCCCTAGGAGGGCAGAGAGAACTCTTGCTGGACCTCTTCTATAGGAGGAGGGAGCTAGCTTCCACCCATGTGATGAATCACATCACAGCAATCTCCCAACATATGAGGCTGGCACTGATGCTGAATTTTCCTTGTAGCATTTTTCACTATTAGTAAGGGAGCATGAGTTCTGTGTGCTTCTAGTACTTTAAGTCCTTAGCTCTTCTTTTGTATGTGTCTCCTGTTGAACAATTTTATAGAGAAAAGAAGATTCCCGGTCACTAACTCAATTAAAAACATTTCCCTGGATCAGAAATAGCAGGGAGTGGCACATTATTTCAGAAAGCACAGGGATGGGAGGGAATCCAGTTTTTCTCGGGAACTAAAGAGTTGCCTGAAGTCACCACCCAAAGTCTCTGTTCACTGAATAATAGTCCTAAGTGTGAGGTTCAGAATCTTGTTCAGGAAATCAGACCAGAAGAAAAACAGCAACAACTGGCTCTGAAATTTCCTGGAGATAAAAATGCCAGCTCTGATGAGGGGCGGCCACGTGTAATTCTGCCTGACAACCGTGTGACATGCGAGGCCCTGGCATGCCAAGGCACACACACGCAGCTGCACGCTAAAAGCAGTGACACAGTGGTCGCACCAGGCCCCCAAAGCACTGAGCTGGGCGTCTCGTGCTCGATGGCCTTTGGTCAATTCCACTTTTCCTTGTTTCCTCTCCTCCCCTCCTTTTCCTCCTCCCCGTCATATCCCAGCTCTTTCCAAAGGATTTAATTCCTGCAACTATTTCGTAGGGAGAAAGAGCTTTACTTGGCGACTTTTGGTTTACAGGATCGTTGGTGAACAATCAGTCTGTCTGGCAGGAAGGTACGCCCACAAATATTACAGGGAACCAACTGGCTCTGGGCACTTTTCCAAGCAGCTTCGTTTAAGGCATCAAGATCATAGAAACCCTTGGCTGAAAAGTTAAAGAAAAACAGAGGAGAAAAAAAAAGAAGAACAAAAAATAAAAGAAAAAGAAAATGGGAAAATGGATCAGTTTTCATTCTGGAGAACCATGCTCTACTTTTTATGGAAAGTATTTTCAGGAAATACCTGTTGACTGAGGCTTTTAAACAAATCGTATTACTTTTGCCAAAAAAAAAAAAGTGCTGCTCGGTCTTTTAAGGGTTGAGAACCGTTAGCTCGGAACTAGAGGTTTTTCAGTCCTCAGATTTTAAAAAGGGGAAGACATTGTTTTATGTGTTGTGATATGCATTCTTCACTAATTATTAACATCTTTGCTTACACATTATTATCTTGCAAATATAACTTTTGGCTTTCTTTCAGTTGACTCTAAATACAAGCTTACAAAAGGAAAAGAACATTTATTTGAATTTTCTTCTCCTGTAATCCTTCAGTGGAATGTTTTTAGAGGACATAACTGACAGTTGAGAGTGAATTTGAGATGAATTATATCCTAAAACTTTATCATCTCTTTATGGCCGTAAACTCAGAGATTCTTTAAGTAATTAAAGTGAAGAATGCAAACAGAATAGTTCATCTGATGAAAAAAAGCGTCCTTAAGAAAACAACAAAGGCAGCTGAGAGATATATAATCTCCATTGGCAGAGCACAGGAAAAAAGGCATATGGGTTTATTTTAGAGAAACAGTGTGGGATTTAACTTTAATAAACCTTATTTAAATAGAATGGCTTTAGTACATTAAATTGACTATGTCTTAGAATTGCCCAAAATAGGCCCCCCAAAATGTAGCCAGGCATGCAAAAATATATCACATAGTTTTTAAAAAATTATTTTCACAGCATATATTTCTTCACTAAAGCCCAGGCAATACCCATATGACTTCTGTCTGGTGGTTCACACAAACATAGCAAACCTTAGATTCTTTAACAAGCTTACTCATGTTCTTTTTCTTTTATTTTTTTCTCCGTGGGAAATTAAACTCCAGCACAACAGGACAACCTAGTATTTCTCCCTTGGATAAAGGAAGTGTCACTTTCCATGCAGGATATGAATGTGTATATATATATATATATATATATATATATATATATTTTTATTTTTATTTTTTTGCGGTACACGGGCCTCTCACTGTCGTGGCCTCTCCCACTGTGGAGCACAGGCTCCGGACGTGCAGGCTCAGCGGCCATGGCTCACGGGCCCAGCCGCTCCACGGCATGTGGGATCTTCCCAGACCGGGGCACGAACCCGTGTCCCCTGCATCGGCAGGCGGACTCTCAACCACTGTGCCACCAGGGAAGCCCTGAATGTATATTTTGAGTGCTTTAAAAGCAGTTTAAAAAGGAATGGCACTGACTTTCTCCTTACTCATATGAGTTTTAATATGGACTCAAAAATTCCAGAGTATTCACTGATTCTCAGTTGAAGATGATTCATCACATTTCTAAAAGTTTTAGGGCTTGTACTTTGGATCTGGAGGAAGGGCTATTTGAATCCTATGACTACAGTAAGTCCACGGGATGGAAATGTTCATGAGAATTCTCTTTGCCTAGAGAGGAAGGGCAACTTCGGAAATAACAAAAGCATAGAGCCAAGAGAAAAATTGCAGAAAGTGCAATTATAAGGATCTGCCTTTTCCATCTGTAGCCAATAACAGAATGGCGAACACTCCAGGGCTTCCAAACCAGTCGTTTCTCTCACCTCTTCTAGAATTGTGATAAGCATGCTCAAGCAGAGAAAGTGATAAAGATCAGAAGTGAAGGAAATAGATTTTTGACACCAAATGAGAAATGATGGGAAGACAGTCTCAAAGAGGTGAACAATTTCTTTGTGAGCAAATATTCTAATTTCAGTAGATGGATATTTTCATCTTGAGCTCTTTTCCCACCTTTTTCATGCAGAGTCTTCCTTTAGGCAAGGACTGTGAATAGTTGGGTTCTAGCAGCCTTTAGAACTTTATCATGACAATCTAGATTCCACTCTGTGGGTTGTTAAAAAAAAGTCTCTTTGGGTCACATCTCTAACAAGAGTACTTTGGGCTAACTGATACTAAATGACCTCCAAGGTACCTATGGTTACATAAAGAAAATCAATTAATTGAATGATTCTCTTAAAACCAAGAATAGTTTTCCTTTGAGGGGAATCAGGAGATCAACTGAGAAAATGACAATGGCAGATGATGAGCAAGTCTGAGCTTGTATGGCAAACACACTCTCTGAACTACTACTTTCTCACCCTAAATGAGTCAGTATGAGGCTCTGTAATGCGACCACACATGGCAGTTTATGAAGTTCCAGTGTCAGCCTGTGCAGTGTTTTACAAAGTATTCATTGCAAAATTTTTAAAATCTGGACATTTCATATAGAAGTCTAGATTTCCAGTTTCTTTTGTATTATTGAAAGGTACATCACAGTAAATTTAAGGCTAAATTTCTTAAGTGTAACACCAGCTGGAACTGGATAGCAGCTGTCTCCTTTAGAAAGGCAGTGTTGGGCTTCCCTGGTGGCGCAATGGTTGAGAGTCCGCCTGCTGATGCAGGGGACATGAGTTCGTGCCCCCGTCTGGGAGGATGCCACATGCCGCGGAGCGGTTGGGCCCGTGAGCCATGGCCGCCGAGCCTGTGCGTCCGGAGCCTGTGCTCCGCAACGGGAGAGGCCACAACAGTGAGAGGTCCGCGTACCGCAAAAAAAAAAAAAAGAAAGGCAGTGCTCTCCCACTCATAGTCTCCACCTTCCCTTTTTCCACACACAGACAAATTTATTCAATTGTGTATCCTGACTAGCAGACCCTATAAGCATTTCACTTTGGTACCCCCACTCTTTGAACACTGAAACACATTCATATTTGAAAACATGTTTCCAGATGTCCCCAAAGGTTTTTTAAGCTACAAAGTTTTAAAGATTTGTGTTTGATAATATATGAAAGCAACTTTTGGGAAATATAGCAAATACCAGTGAGTCCCTCTCCTTGTACAGTTTGCCAGGATATAGTATCTTTATGTCTCAGCATCTGAAGACAACACTTTGGTCAGGTATTCTGGAACTGTTTTTTTCTATTTGGCTGTAGCCAAGACAGTAAATGTTGCTGATTTCAGTTACCTGAACAAGTAATAAAAGAATACCTCTACTCTTTTAAGTTTAGAGGGAAAAGTCTTCCCTTATACACTCAAGTCTTTTTTTCCAAAAACTTACCAGTAATGGTCCCGACTTCTGGCTTTTTCGGTTCTGGTCTCCTTAGCTCTTTAGGCAACAAGTTGTTTTCATTATGCCATTTTTTCAGACATTGTGGCTCATGGATGAGAATTGATTTTGTTCCATATTCACGACCACAAATGTAGCAAACAACTGTTGGTGGATGCCTTATCATTGTTGGCTGCAAGTAATACAAAATATCTGTTAGATAAAGTTCAGGTTTGGAAATTATACTTTTAAATTATAATACATTTAAATTAGCTAGAAAAATCAGTAAATTTTTAAAAGAGTCTAACCATTCTGGTGAGTTTAACCTTTCTGGCAGTTAAGAGAATAAACTATACTACCTGGGTGATTGAGGTGGGGGGTAAGGATGTTGGTTTGGGAGGAGGACAGGAAATGAAGAAGAGCTAACCAGAATTTTACATATTGGTACTTTATAAAAGTTATTTTCTCATTGAATAAATAGTGATTGATTGTCTTCTGACTTTTCTCCATGCTGGGAGAATACAAAGATAAATCAGGTATGAATCATCCTCTCAGTACATCAATATGACTGAGGAATAAAGTAATTAATGTCCTAACTGGCACAGAGTTTTTAACAGACACTGTTGTGCTCTCTTGCATTCCTTCATGTATAAAATTTCTGCTGCACCTGCGAGTCTCTGCCTTTTTTGATCTGCAGTAGACTCCGCTTATAGGCAGGACAACTAATCAATTACACTTGGGAGTTGGTGGATAAAGACCCAGCTTGCTCACTTAGGCTGTTTCCATACAGTGCTCCAGAAGTCCCCAGTGGGACTGTATCACAGTTACTCATTAACACACTATGTAGACTTCCTTCTTTTTCCTGTCTCTCCTCCCACTACTTTTATTGGGGTTCCTGAGATCACCTCCCCCCAGACTACTTGAACTCAAATCCTTTTCTTAACGTTTGTTTCTGGGAGAACCAAATCTAAGGAAGAGTTAAGGATATAACCCTTCTGTCTAGGATATAGAACATTACAAGAAACATTTTTCCCACCTAAACAATGAGAACAAATCAGATAGCCTGCAGAAACATAATTTTTGAGCCTATTAGATACTCAAAGTTGCAAGGTAAACTAATGAACTAAAAGGACTGCCTCAGTTTGAGGGTGGATCAGCAGAAACAAGAGAACAACTCCCACCCTCCAACTTTACATGAATTAGAAACAACATTTGTCTGCCACAGAGATAAGGGCAGGACAGCTGAGTGTGAACCATTCAGAGGTGCAGCATACAGGTCCTGTCTATAGAAACTTTCCCACCCACTGGGTCTTGCACCTAGTAATAGAGGGTGACAGTCCAACACTGGAGAGAGTCAGGAGCATTGAGATCAACGCTTACCAATTCAGGAACATAGGGCTTGCCTAAATGTGACGGTAAAGCTGGAGAATTAGGCCATGTGCTAGTCCCAGATAAGAGCAGTATACTGCGGGGGAGGCTTGGGAGCACTAAGAGGGAACCCCCCTCTGTTGCAGGCATGTAGAGTCCACAGGAGTCTAAAGGTGTAGTAGAAGAACCAGGAGGAGACCTTTGGCTCCAGGCCTTACACTAAGTACAAAGCATGGGCAGTTTACCATGGAGGAATTTAAAGCCTATAATGCATTGAACATAACTAAAAATGACATATCTGAGAAGCTCAGAGAAATCCGAGCAAGATGAACAAAAAAACAGAACTAGATATGTACTAGTAAAACTGCTAAGAACCAAAGATAAGCTTGAAAGCTCTCAAACAGAAACAATACATACAAGGGAATAAGGAAACGATAAGAATTTCAGGTGACTTCTCATCAGAAAAAAAAAAAAAATGAAGAACAGGAAACAAGAGAATGACATTTTAAAAATGCTTAAAGGGAAAAATTATCAAGTCATTTCAAAATTCCATAGTCAGTAAGAATACCTTTCAAAAATGAAGGTGAAATAAAGACTTTTTTTTTTTTTTTTTTGGCTGCACTGTGTGGCATGCATGCAGAACTTCCCTGACCAGGGATCCAACCCATGCCCCTTGCAGTGGAAGCACAGAGTCTTAACCACTGGACCACCAGGGAAGTCCTAAAGATGTCTTTATCTAGACAAAAGGTGAAAGAATTTCCTCAGCAGAGTTGATTTACAAGAAATGTTAAAAAACATTATAAATGCTGTAGGAAAATATCAGCTAGAAATCTGGTTCTGCAAGAAGGAATGGAAAAACACTATAAAATGCAAATAGGTCAATAAATTAAAACACTCTTTTAAAAAATGTTTCTAATTTTTGTACATATATATGACAAAATCACTTTAGACCATGGGCTCTTTAAAGAAAAATAATAACAAAAGAAAATGGAGTTTATATTCTCTAATGTGTAAAGTTATAGTAAACAAGAACATAAATTGTAGGGACGAAAAACTGGAAATAGATTGTCATAGAATTCTTATATTTTTCTTGAAGTAATTTTTAAACATAGAATGTGATATGCTATGTTTTAGCCTCTATAATAACCACTAAAGTACAAAGTCATGCCAAGAGGAATAACTAAAAAGTCAATGAGAAGAGAGAATAATTTTTAAAAATTGATGAGTTAACCGTCCCCCAAAGAAATATAGGAAAAGAGGAACAGAGGATTAAAAGAAAAGGCAAGAAGAGGACCTTCAAGATGGTGGAGGAGTATGACGTGGAGATCACCTTCCTCCCCACAAATACATCAAAAATACATCTACATGTGGAACAACTCCTACAGAACACCTACTGAATGCTGGCAGAAGAAATCAGACTTCCCAAAAGGCAAGAAGCTTCCTACGTATATGGCTGTGTGGCTGACAGGGTCTTGGTACTCTGGCCAGGTGTCAGGCCTGAGCCTCTGAGGTGGGGAAGCCAAGTTCAGGACATTGTTCCACCAGAGACCTCCCAACCCCAAGTAATATCAAAGGGCAAAAACTCTTCCAGAGACCTCCATCTCAACACTAAGACCCAGCTCCACTCAACGACCAGCAAGCTACAGTGCTAGACAGTCTATGCCAGACAACTAGCAAGACAGGAACACAAACCCACCCATTAGCAGAGAGGCTGCCTAAATCATAATAAGTTCACAGACAGCCTAAAACACACCACCGGACATGGTCTTGCCCACTAGAAAGACAAGATCCAGCCTCATCCACCAGAACACATGCACCAGTTCCCACCACCAGGAAGCCTACAAAACCCACTGAACCAACCTTATCCCCTGAGAGCAGACACCAAAAACAACGGGAACTACAAACCTGTAGCATGTGAAAATGAGACCCCGAACACAGTAAGCTAAGCAAAAAGAGAAGACAGAGAAACACAGAGCAGATGAAGGAGCAAGATAAAAACCCACCAGATCTAACAAATGAAGAGGAAATGGGCAGTTTACCTGAAAAAGAATTCAGAGTAATGATAGTAAGGATGAGCCAAAATCTTGGAAATAGAATAGAGAAAATGAACGTTTAACAAGGACCTAGAAGAACTAAAGAGCAAACAAACAATGATGAACAACACAATAAATGGAATTTAAAATTCTCTAGAAGGAATCAATAGCAGAATAACTGAGGCAGAAGAACGGATAAGTGACCTGGAAGATAAAATAGTGGAAATAACTACAACAGAGCAGAATAAAGAAAAAAGAATGAAAAGAATTGAGGACAGTTTCAGTGACATCTGGGACAACATTAAACACACCAGCATTTGAATTATAGGGGTCCCAGAAGGAGAGAAAAAGAAAGGGATGAGAAAATATTTGAAGAGACTATAGTTGAAAACTTCCCTAATATGGGAAAGGAAATAGTCAGTCAAGTCCAGGAAGCACAGAGCGTCCCATCCAGGATAAATCCAAGGAGAAACAAACCAAGACACATATTAATCAAGGTATCAAAAATTAAATACAAAGAAAAAATATTAAAAACAGCAAGGGAAAAACAACAAATAACATACAAGGGAATCCCCATAAGGTTAACAGCTGATCTTTCAGCAGAAACTCTGCAAGCCAGAAGGGAGTGGCAGGATATATTTAAAGTGATGAAAGGGAAAAATTTACAACCAAGGTGACTCTACCAAGCAAGGATCTCATTCAGATTCGACGGAGAAATTAAAACCTTTACAGAGAAGCAAAAGTTAAGAGAATTCAGCACCAGCAAACCAGCTTTACAACAAGTGCTAAAGGATCTTCTCTAGGCAGGAAACACAAGAGAAGGAAAAGACCTACAAAAACAAACCCAAAACAATTAAGAAAACGGTAACAGGAACATACATTTGGATAATTACCTTAAGTGCAAATGAATTAAATGCTCCAACCAAAAGACACAGACTGGATGAATGGATACAAGAAGAAGACCAGTATATATGCTGTCTACAAGAGACCCACTTCAGACCTAGGGACACATACAGACTGAAAGTGAGGGGATAGAAAAAGATATTCCATGCAAATGGAAATCAAAGGAAAGCTGAAGTAGCAATTCTCATATCAGACAAAATAGACTTTAAAATAAAGACTATTACAAGAGACAAAGAAGGACACTACATAATGATCAAGGGATCAATCCAAGAAGATATAACAATTGTAAATATTTATACACCCAACATAGGAGCACCTCCATACGTAAGGCAAATGCTAATGGCCATAAAAGGGGAAATCAACAATAACACAATCATAGTAGGGGACTTTTAACACCCCACTTTCACCAATGGACAGATCATCCAAAATGAAAATAAATAAGGAAACACAAGCTTCAAATGATATATTAACAAGATGGGTTTAATTGATAGTTATAGGACATTCCATTAAAAAACAACAGAATACACTTTCTTCTCAAGTTGTCATGGAACATTCTCCAGGATAGATCATACCTTGGGTCACAAATCAAGCCTTAGTAAATTTTTTTTTTTTTTGCAGTACACGGGCCTCTCACTGTTGTGGCCTCTCCCATTGCAGAGCACAGGCTCCGGACACACAGGCTCAGTGGCCATGGATCACGGGCCCAGCCACTGCGGCATGTGGGATCTTCCTGGACTGGGGCACAAACCCGTGTCCCCTGCATCGGCAGGCGGACTCTCAACCACTGCGCCACCAGGGAAGCCCAAACCTTGGTAAATTTAAGAACACTGAAACTGTAACAAGTATCTTTTCTGACCACAGTGCTATGAGACTAGATATCAATTAAAGG